TCAATATACACAAAGGGAAGAGCAGGATTCTCCGATACAACACAGCATGCAAAAATCCAATCACAATTGACGGAGAAAATTTGGAAGATGTAAAAACCTTTACATATTTAGGCAGCATCATTGATGAACACGGTGGATCTGGTGATGTGAAAGCGCGGATCGGTAAAGCAAGAGCAGTATATTTACAACTGAAGGACATCTGGAACTCAAAACAACTATCTGTCAACTAACACCAAGGTCAGGATTTTCAATACAAATGTCGAAACAGTTCAACTGTATGGGGTGGAAACTTGAAGAACTACGAAAGCCATCATCCTCAAGATACAAGTGTTTATTAACACTTGTCTACGCAAAATAATTCGGATCCGTTGGCCGGACACTACTAGCAACAACCAACTGTGGGAAAGAACAAACCAGATAGCAGCAGAGGAAGAAGCGCTGGAAGTGGTCAGTCAGTAACAACGTAGAACTTCGTACGTACGTATATCAGTTCGAGTTGCCACATCACATTAGCACAGAGATGCAGTGGTCGATTCAAATCCTGTAGTATAAGCAATAATCGGGAAGATTAGTGTTTGGAGATGTTACTTAAAGAGTATAATACAGTGAAATAAATTTAGGAAGAGAAAAAAAGGAGACAAGGAGGAATAAGGAGATCAAAATTTGGGAGAACACAAAGAGTGTATGCACCTGCGCCATTGCAAACGATTTTGGGCCATGTCATTCAGGGTCTCTAACCATCAGTTGCTATCATCTCGCGGTCCCCAACCAGGTAGTCTACACCTACCAACATGACTCAGACCACTTGTCAGTGACTTCATGGACTTGTGCCATGTTTTGGTCTGGCCGCCCCTAACTTTCTTCCAACCTACTCCTATACCACTGAACATCGCACGTCGAGGCAGTCGATTGTTGGGCATACGTAACACGTGTCCCAGACATCTCAACTGATGAAGTTTCACTACTTCATCGATTGATTTGCCATCCTTACCTAGTACCCGTTTCCTAACAACTGCATTACTTACTCGATGGTCCCAGCATATACGAGCAATATTTCGAAGACACCTATGATCAAATACTAGTAACCTACGAATATTCTCTACTCTTACCGGCCATGTTTCACTGCCATAAAGTAGGACGGAATGAACTGCTGCGCAGTAAACACGTCCTTTGGTTGATAGACGGATATCTCGCCTACGCCATAAATGAAGCAAGGGCTGATGAGACTTCCAAGATAAGTGAAGCGATCGACACGCTCAATTACTTCACTCCCTATCATTAGTTCGGGTGTCGATGTAACCCAATCCTGAAGCAACATTTTGCATTTCGAGAGGGAGAATCGCATCCCGAACATGCTTGCATTGTTGCTTAGAGTGGTCAGAAGACTCTGCATTTTGTCAGCGTCTTCACCAAATAAAACTATGTTATCAGCATATTCTAAGTCAACAAGTGAACCACCCCGTAGAAGTTAAGCCCCTGGAAATTTAGATGAGGAAAGTGTCATCTCTAAAAGCACGTCAATGACAAAGTTAAACAAGAAAGGAGAGAGTGGACAGCCCTGACGAACTCCGCTTGAGGCAATCAATTCTGATGACAGTTCGCCATAAGCTCTCACTCTACCAGTTGTGTTCGAGTAGAGAGCCTGAATACGGTTAATGTACTTCTTTGGTACTCCTTTCACTGACAAACACTGCCATAGAACCTTACGATCAACAGAGTCGAATGCCGCCTTAAGGTCGAGAAATGCTACCATTGTGGGGCGTCTGAACGTGTGTCTGTGTTCTAGAATCTGATGTGGTGTGAATATCTGGTCTATACAACCACGTCCAGGTCGAAAACAAACCTGATTTTCTCTAGTCTGTTCTTCACGAGCTCTGGTTAGGCGTCGAAGTATTATTGAAGCTAATATTTTAGACACTATATTAGTCAAACTGATTCCTCTGTGATTGTCACAAGAGGACTTTTGTCCTTTCTTAAAAACTGGCACAATTAGTGATTGAGATCATTCAGTTGGGATTACGTCCAGCTCCCAAATTCTACCTAAGACCTCAGTCAATCTCACTGCTAATACTGAACCACCATCCTTAAAAATCTCAGGAGTAAACCTGTCAGGGCCTGCTGCTCTCCCTCGCTTCAGATTTCCTATGGCTTTACCAACTTCGTAAAGAGACGGAGGACGTACATTAACTTGCCACTCAGGTTGACTAGAGATCGTGGGAAACCGAAGTGTGACTGAAGGCCAGTTGAACTGATCTTTGAAGTGTTCTGTCCATCGATCCAATCTCCTGGATTGAGAATGTATAATATATCCATCTTCCTTTGAGAGTGTTTTGCTAACAGTAGGTTTCCTTAACAAGTCTGAACAATTGTCTGCTATTACCTATTGCCGCTGCCTTTTCCATCTCTCTTGCTTTCGCTACCCACCACTGTTCACAATCATTGCGTAGACTTCTTGTCAGGTTGCGCTTAAGCTGACTCCGCTCTTCATTATGTTCAGAGCCAGGTGGAATGAGTTTCCGAGCATCTATGAGTGCGATAGATGCTGCTGAGATCCGGTGTTGCTCCCTAACCTTACGGGTTACCGTACTAGCAGATATCAATGCTGTTTCCACAGATTTTCGGATATCATTCCATGCTGCCTCGTGGTGGGCATCACATACATGGCTGCCTAACTGTTTTCCTAGTTGTTCCTGAAATATACTCTTAGCTTGACTATCATTAAGTAGGGCCCTAAGAGGTTTACTTGCAGCGTCTTTCCTATTTCCAGTAAGACGCAGACAGATACGCGCTCGGACTAAAGCATGATCTGAATCTAAGCATGTGCTCCAGAATGAGCGACAGTCTTCTATCGAGCCTCTCCATCACTGGCTGATAGCGATGTGATCTATTTGGGTCCAACGTTGGGACGAATTAGGGGGTCTCCATGTTAAAAGATGTTTTTCCTTATGCTTAAAGTTAGTATTTGCAAGAAAGAGGCGGTTATCCGAGCATAGCTGCAACAGACGGTCGCCATTATCTGTTCTTTGAGCCACGACACTACAAGATCCACCCAGGTGTCTTTCCCTATTGCTTAGTTTACCTACTTGAGCATTAAAGTCACCGGCCACTATTACTACATCCGAGCGCATAGCTTTTCGGAAGAGGTCAGAGAGCTTTCTGTAAAACTCATCTTTTACATCATCTGCGCTGCAGTCAGTGGGAGAATAGACAGAGACGACGAAGAGGCAACGACGAGTGTCCCTATCTTTTCGGATCATTACTGTTCCGTTTAGTCGGATAGCGCACAAACGACTGTTCACTGGGATCCACTCTAGGAGAGTTAGTTCTGCCCTAGGAATTAATGCTATACTTATGCCGGCGAGGCCACGGGAAGCAGAATCAGGGCTTCCAGATACACGAAGTGTGAATCGTGTTGGTTCTTTATTTTGGCATGGTGAGGTCAGATGAATGACGCTACTCGGATCCTGTATGCGCGTTTCGGAGACGCAGCACACATCGATGGCGCGGGATTCTAAAGTCCTAGCTACGGAAGCCTGTTGTTCTATTTGGCACAGTGTTCGGACGTTAAAAGCTCCTACGTGTAGTTTAGAGCGTGGTTTCAGGAGACCAGGAATAGCGTTCCGCGTACTCGAATCGTTTGCCCTAGCGGTGCGAGATGATAAAGAGACGTGAGGAGGTTTAGTCATGGAGATAAGAGAGGTATTAGGAGGTGTAGGAAGGATTTGAATGTGACCAACTTGGTCTCGTGTGCTGTTACGGGTATGAGGGCTGATGTCACTTCCCGGCTGCCCACATCATGGAAGGGTATTTCTTGAGGAACCTGAAAAGGAAATTGAATTAGTGTTGGTCTTAACGACTTGGGAGCATGACCGCAGAGCCCAAGAGACAACTACTTGAGGCCGGTAGCGCACGGCGTTTTCGTGGAAGGTTTTTAATGTTAGCTCCGTTCTTTAAATGGCCTTACCACCCGAGACGGAAATCCGTGAGGTAAGGTGAGGCGTGACATTTTTAGGGTCGACCTTTTCTAACCCCACCTCTCCTTGTGGGAAGGCAGCATCGCTGAAGATGCTGGTTGTCCGAGGGAAACACCTTACTGCTGTCACACCCCTCTACAGTCGGCAGTACGACTTCGCCCTCAGACCTTGAGTTGCTGCTTTTAGTCTTACTGTTCTCCAATCGACCTGCCTGGCATGGTAGAATCTACAGGAACATATGTTCCAACCAATATAGCTCGGTCGGGGCTGGAAGTGAATAGGACACACATTAAGGAAAGTACCCAACTGCGTCACAAGACAAGACCTCACAATGCCAAAGGAGGAGAGGAAGACCAAAGAACACATTACGCCGGGAAACGGAGATAGACATGAGAAAAATGAACAAGAATTGGATGGGACTACGAAAGAAGGTCCAGGACAGAGTGGGTTCGAGAATGCTGGTCGGCGGCCTATGCTCCATTAGGAGTAACAGGCGTAAGTAAGTAATTTAAAGAAGTTCAACAGTATATATGTAAAAGAAAAAAACTCAAGATATGTGACGGATGATGACATCGTTCAAATTAGTGTAAATTTGAGATTTAACGCATTGATTTGCTTTTTTTTTACCAATGTCAGTATTTCGAAACCTGAACCCGGATCAACTGTTTTGAATGGTCTAATAGTAAAACACCTGCGATTATTTCATGTTATTTACCCTCCATCGCGATCCTTCCAATGTGAAAAATAACAGTGCGTTGTTTTATGATATTCCCGATTTTGGTGGATATGATGAACTAAAAACTCTGCTTGATCAAAGTCGCTTACCATTAATAAGATATAAACATTGTTTACGAAAACTAAACGATGTTACTTGGATCAAGGTCAATGGCTTTTTCTTATTCAGGAGTAGTCTATATGACTCTGTAAATTACTTTCATTCTTAATGAAAATTTAGTACATCAAGAAAAGATAACAGACATAAAGTCAAATATGGACATTATGGCTTGCAATGATTAAGAAACATACTTTGGGACAGATGTCTGAAAGTTTTTATTAACGGGAATTCGACCTTTCTCGTCCAATCTGATTCCAACATTTTCTAAACCAAGGCCACTGGTGTAAGGACGCCTTCCTATACATACTAAAAGGGTGTCACAGCTAATCTAGAATAAGAAAGAAGTTTGATTTGAAAATAAACGATAATAAAATTAAAAAAACTCGTTTTTATACGTATTATAATATTTTAAAAATTGTTTCAACGACAAACAGAATCACTTACACTTTGAGATTTACCATCTTTTACACCTTCTAACTGTACTGTAATGGTGTCACCAGATTTTGACGCTGACAAAACTTTAGTATTTAAAAGGAATTTGAGACCCTGTTTAGTCAAGATTTTCTGAAAGCTCTTGCTTATTTCCATATCGATGCCCATACCCCCTACATGGCCAAGGAATTCCACACAAGTGACCTGAAATAAAAAGAAAAATAGATCAAATGAACGAGGTAAAACGCAAATGGACAAACTGTTTACATGGCACAGAGTATTTTGAAATGGAATAAGTTTTCATTATGGATGTTTTCCAGCAATCAGAAAACGCTAAATCCACGTGCTGAAGGTTAGAGTTAACATAAGTAGTTGTTTGTAAAATGGACTAGAATATTATTTATTTGTACATAATAAAGTGGATCGAATATTAGACATGAACAGTTCCTTACGGCATAGTATCGGTGATGGTTAGACAGATTTCGTGATAGGACTACTGGTTTGTAAACATTAACAGCACCCAAATACCCTGGTACAGCTGAGGGTAGGGAGAGTCAGCTCTCCCTCTCGAAATGATCTCACATCACCCGTATACAACCACTTTCAGAAAAATCCTACTCACTGCCTCCTCGTGGCATTACTGTTGTTTAGTACTTTAACAGGACGAAAAGCGAATATTCGGCCCTTTAGACGGGTTGGTGGACACGGAGAGTCCACCTAGGGGAGTTTGAAAACCATGATTCCAAACCAATGGTGCACATGGGCTCCAGTATTCTGAAGGGACAAATGGAATATGAACCTATTGTTGGTCACCGGTCACTATGGGACTGCATCTCTTATCGTTGCTCCACTAGTCTGTGGATTAGACCTTTAGATCGAAGGCTCCGGGTGTGGTCCCCTAGGAGAATCACCTGCTTCGGTTTGGACAACCGGGCAGTATAATGGATCACACACAAATCAAGTGACTTGTGTGGCGCATATATATATTCGGTGCCCTTTGTACCAATATTTATGTGTTCAAATAAATAAAATATTAACATATCTCTTTAACGGATTCACACACAAGAAGTAGTATGTACTGCCCAAGCCATTTTTTCAGTAATTAATGAACATCGTTCTACTTGGTATTCCAGAAGTTGCTGCATGCCTGGATGATATCCTAATTGACTTAGATTCACTAACAGACCTGCACAATCGCATAAAAACTATACAGCGACATATCAAAGAAACTGGCTTCCGTTACTATCCATAAAATTACTGAAATACTTTGAGATGGTGGAGATTTGTAGCTCAGGTGGATGATTTTGGTGGAGTTTTGTTCTCTGAGCTGGATGGTTTGGTCGTGTGGTGAAGACACTCATGGAGAAAATATAGTTGTTCTCGAGTGGAAGCCTGCCTTTTGGCGAAATTCTCCCATTTTCGAACAACGAGAAAGCGTATTACGCTCATATGATTTTGAGATGGTGGATAGAACAAAACTCCACCAAAAACTGAAATACTTTATTTATATCTGCTTCCAATGGTAGTCAACCGGATCCAAATAATATCCGGGCTATTTAGTAAGTGGAAACACCGACAGTTATAACATCACTCAGATGCTTTCTAGGACTTATCAACTACTATTCAGATTTCATGTCATTATCACATCAAATATGTCGTGAACTGAACCGCCTAATTAGAAAAGAAGCACTGTGGGACTAGACAAAGGAACGTGAATCAGTATTTTGTGAATTGAAGTATGCAGTGCGTTCCGAAATGTTGCTGAAACATTACGATTCTACGTCGCCCATCATTATAGTGTCCGGTGTTGCAGGTCATGTTGCAGTCATGACACATTTATTCACGGGTGGAAAAGAAAAGGCCGTTATATATGCTGATTGGACACTTAACCGGAGGGTGAGAAGATGCTGCTAAGCAAAAAAGGGAAGCTTTAAACTTGGTGTTCGTCATCCATCGCTTGCACAAGCTGGTGTAGGGAAAAATATTTACTCTTATAACAGATCACAGGTCACTACTGAGTTTACAGCTTTACATCTGGAATGCTAATACACGTAGCAAATCGCTTACAGATATGGGCGCTGATTCTACTTGGATATGATTTTTAAATACAATACTGTCAAGTGAATGCACAGTCCCGTTTGATAAGTGAGGATCCAACAGGAGTTGGAGTATTGGTAATCGCAATGTTAGCTAAACGAGACTACACGAGCGCCGCTTGAGCTTTGCTAATGTCGATTGCAGACGTCCTGTAATTCAGCAATCATTTGCATTCGTCATGAATGAATAGAAAAAGACTAATTCAGAAGAAAAAATAAAACAGCTCTTTCCCATAGTGAGTTATTATGCATTTTAGATGACTGGTTAATGTTTGGCGAATGGGTGGTGGTGCATAAATCCCTCCGTCCTTAGGTACTTCGGCAATCTCACAGCAGCCATCCGGGTATATAATATTGAATAAAGTCATTAATAATAATAAATATAAACTGTATGAAGTTTGTTGCCAAGAGTTTTACCTATAGACAGATCATGGATCATCAGATTACGGATTTTGTAAACGGCTGCGCTAAATATTAACAAGAAACAAAGATCAACAATCCAAACAGACTTTGCCGGACCAGTCGATGCACCAAATATTTTGGTTCTCGTTGATGCGTCCTCAAAATAGTCAAAGGTTCTTCAGTTGGTCTCACCAACAACAACGAAAACCCTTCAGATACTGACAGAGATCTTTCTTTGCAACGGGGTACCAGATACTATAGTGTCAGATAATTGATCTCAACTTATTTCAGGACATTTTCAAGAGTTCTTTCGCCGACAATCCATCACACATATAAGCTTATCATCAGTCAAATGAACAAGTAGAGCAGTTTGTGGACTTTAAAAAGAGTATTACAAAAGTCAGAGGGGGAAGGAACACTCATCCATATATTGCACGATTTTCTGTTGGTGTACAGAACTATACCAAACGACACTAATAAATTATGGGTCACAGATTAAGAATAACCCACAAACTGATGTTACCAAAAAAGGCTACCCGTGAGAAATGTGGTATCAATGAAAGCCTCAGAATTAGTCCGAGATTAAACACCAAGGTATGACAAATGGACAAAGAGACGAGTGACACGAAGGCTATGTCAAGTAATGAATTAGGTAGCGGTAGAAAGAGACAATCAGACATGACATCTCAACTGATTATAAAGACGTGTATTATCCGCCTGAAAAACTACTAAATACTTTCAGATTATCACAGATCCCAATCAAAATACTAAAAAGAAAACATTGCACCGCAAGAACTGGTAAATCTAAGACCTAGAAGATAGTCGACCCGACGACGGTGGCAGATGGTTCAATTTTAAGTGAACCCAAGAGAACCACGCTATTAACAGGATAGGATATGCAACTTTAAATTACAAATCATGAGAATCGAATCGATATCAATTGGGTAGGAATCCTGTTACATTAAATGATTTAGTGTGAACAGTAATTATGGAATTTTAATACAATTTCACGGTATCTTGTGTCAATGACATATTATGATCATTTTTTATTGGTCTTTTAGTTAAACACTGGGTCAGCATTAGATAACTTTGCCTTTAAATCAGGTGTTTTTACTCCCGTTAGTGGAGCAGGGAAAAGAGGAGAATAGAATAGTTTCGCTCAGCGTCAAAATTATTAGCAAAGTGCATGGACATATCATGCACTTTTAAACGAAATTCTACTAAGATGTCTGTCTATCCGACTTTGACAGGTGGCAAGTCAATAAATACCAGTCTAATTTTATGGAATCACTGTTTGTTCAGTCATTTAGAATAATTCAACATCACAAATACTCAAAGTGATTATTATTATCAATCACATGTTGAACTAGATGTCAATACAGATGACTTTTGGAGGATAATGTTTGAAAAACACAATTACGTTCAGTTCAACATTACTTTTATTTTTCCTTCGGCTGAGTGTATCATAATTTTTTATATGAAAGTTTGTGACTGTCATTTTGAACTTAGTCTACTTGTAATAACAGTTTGGTAAAAGCTGGATATTGAGTGGATTGAACTTTATGTAATCACGTTTTTTGTGTAACACACATAGGGTTATCCTCGGAGAATATTATTTGAATGGTTTACAGATAATACCTGTGTGATTAGGATAAATAATGTTGAATCAAAAGGATAAGCTTATGGTTTGTGTTTGGTAATTTAGAAGAACTACGTAATCAACACCGGATAACTGAGCACAAACGTCGTGTAAATAGTCACATGATTAGAATTTTAAAATGCAGAAGTGTCAGATTTTTAACTCACTAAACGATAAAATTGATTTACACTATTTACTCCGGTTGGACAAGTAAACATATGGTCTGAAGTATGAGGATAGGAAAAGACTCGTACAACAAAAGTGATCTAGCCAATAATGATGTATATTTGGACCGAGAAGCTATACTTTCTCAGCAATCGAGAATCAGTCGTAAATTAAATTTTAAGAAAAGACTAAACCAATATACAATAGTTAATACTGATCCCTAAAAGCTTACTTCAGCACCTAATCGCTTCCATACAGAACTTAATTCGACACCGATAACTCCAGCCCCGATAACTATAAGATGTTGAGGGACCTTGGTTAACGACAACGCGCCAGTGCTTGATACGATAGACTGTTCATCGATATCGATCCCAGGGAATGGAGTGACTTCGCTGCCTGTTGCAATAAGAATACGTTCAGTTGCAATCCGTTCTTCACTTCCGTCAGCTTTTTTGACCAAAACTTCGTTGGGGTTAACTATCGAACCAAAACCATTTACATGATCAACCTGATTTCAAATGAGTATTAAAAGTGAGAGCGCTGATGTTTAAAAAATTGTTTGGTGGTAGATGAAACAATATATATACTAGTCAAGAAGAATAGAGAGATAAAATATTCGACTACTTAACACGCTAACATCTGACAGATCTTATTAAATAACACTGGAAATCACGAATGGTTATTCATGTAGAAAGAATCTACAGATTTACCGAGGAACAAATAAAAGGCTAATGTTATCACTAATATTCACAATGATAAGATACGAATACTCCTAATTAGAGATAATGACGATTTCGTGTCTAAAGCTAGCTAATATTATACATGGAAACAACCATTTCCATACCTTTAAATTGTGAATTAAGACTGCAATGATGACTGACAAGACCAAGCAGTATTCAACAGTAAAAGTCGTACGGAAAACGTTAGTATCGTTTAAAATCAGACACCTGAGTCTCTACCGCTTTTTGACAGATCGAAAGCAACTCTTCACTAATTAATTTGTTGCTCTGATAGAATGCAATGCACAGAACTTTCTTAGGCCCATTGTGCGTGGGAAAAGTAAAATTTCGCTAGTTCTACTGAAACGTCAAATTGTTTTAGTTGTAGCACTTAGACGAAACTCTTATATAGATTATTCTTTAGCTTTATGTTTTGGCAGAAATATTCTAGTTGCGTGCAGACTGGACAAAGCCGTGCAATCATACGAATTGAGTCGAGATCGAACAACAAGCTTCCCAGTTAAATATTTTAAGTAACCCAAAACTGAACGGTATTGCCCTATAATCAGAAACAATAATTATTGTGAAACTAGTTTTGAAATCCTTGAATGTTGATTCGCAGCACGGAAAATGGACATAACTACATAGAGTTATTATGAAAACCAGATCACTCGTTTTTGTGAAAGGGGAAACATTTGTGTGATATTCACAGAAAAGCATGTCTGACAACGTTTGTAGCTAATTGTCATGCATATTTTATAATACAGGTGTAGGGCCGAGACTATAATTTATGACGAACCAATCAGGTATAAGATAACAGGTCTCGGATCTTGGCGCAAAATTCACTCGTCCGTTTGGCTAAATAAATTTTGGTATTATAGCTGATATCAGCTCGTGATGAAAACTCTAAATATAATTCCCAACCTTAACCATCAACTGTGAATCATAATTTCTATTCTCCACACTGGTTTATAATCCTCATTTGGTCCTAGTTATTAGGTGGACATTCTCAAGGTCATCTAGGCGGCACTCAAAGGTCGTTCATAAATAATGGTCACATCGACGTATGTTGTGACACTAAACTCAAGAAAGTCAAGCAGATTTCAAATGTTAGTAATGCGGCTTGAAATGAATTTTTATCTTTCGTTTGTTTCTAGAACACATGGAAACCTAACGCCAACTAACACGAACTATATCTCCCTAATTTAAAACAGGGTCTGACACCGAACATGCCGTAAAAGCCTTATGTTAGAATGAGTATGTTGTCTAAATTGTGTGTGAAAACATACCTTATTTTGCTTAAATAGGTATGCTATCCCACCAGTTAGACTTGAAACGGCTTTTTCTTTAGCTCTCAACATAGCAGGTAGGTTAAGCTTTAAACTTCCGATATCAATTCCACGGTGTTGGATCTCTGGAGAATTGACGAGTTGATATAAATGAGAATTATTCAACAACGATTTGCTGGGAATACAACCAACATTTAAGCAAGTACCGCCCAAAGTGTCGTTCTTTTCTACACATACCGTCTGCGGAAAATATAATTTAGGTCATGTTACTCTCGGTTTACAAACAAACCTTCAAACCCAATTGTGCAGCTTTAATGGAGGCAACATAGCCACCCGGACCCGATCCAATGACAACAACATCAGCCCTAAGACGATGAGCTACAACAAATGTTTAATGATTATCCGTATGTGCTACCAGAAACTGACAGTCCTCTGGAAACGGACCTCATAGTTAATCCCACTTGATGGATCTAAAGGAGCATTTGATTTTGTATACATAGAAACATACACTAAGGAGTCTGACCATTTTTGCAGCGCAACCTTCAACCCACACGCAACGGACTCACTAAATTTGGCGCCTAAACCCATGCATGCTCATTCTAGTCTTCAGTAATAATGACAGGTCTATCGAGCTATATTAATCCTTGCAGTTTGGAATACTGTGAATATATCAACAGAAAGTGCTGATATTACGTGTTCCTGTAGAGAATTCCAGTAATTCACTACTTGGTGCAAGAAACGAAACTCCAGACTTACATTATTTAATCTCGGTTTTTGAACTTTCTTCGAATGTCCTCTCAAATTATCAGTCCTATACGAAAGTGAAAGATAAAACGTATTAATACTAAGGTCATTGCTCAGTATACTTACGCCTGTTACTCCTCGCGAAGGAGCAAAGGCCACTCAGCAACGTTTGTAGTGACTCACATTTATCACGAGAACACGACTGGTTTAATAAAAACAATTATTATTATAACCGACTGTACCAGTGCTTGTTTTAATGTGTTTTAACTGTGCTAATGACAGCTATATTGTGCTTCCATTCTTATACACACACTTCGATTGTAACTTTGCGCGAATTCGGCTGCGTTCTGTAACCAAGCTTCTATCCTGGCACGATCTCGGTATCCTTTCGATGCCACGAGATCGCCAGCAAATAAACCTCGACTTGGTTCATTAATTGCCTTCTGATATTTGGCTTCTCGGGGATTTTATGGAGTCATTTGGCACGAGCTTCTTGGTAGCGGTGTTCATAGACAATCTCCACTCGACACCACGCTACACGTTCTCCATCCAACTCTGTCCTGGGCAATCCTTTCCAGCTCTTTCCAGTTGTTATTCATCCTTTTAATATGAGCTTCTATTTCCGGACGTAATGTGTTCTTTGGCCTTATTCTTTTCCACTTCCCTTCAGGATTCCAAGTTAGGGCTTGCCTTATGATGGAGATTGGTGATTTCCCTAGTGTATGTCCTATCCATTTCCATCGTCTTTTTCTAATTTATTCTTCAGCTGAAAGCTGGTTTGTTCTCTCCCAGAGAAGGCTGTTACTGATGGTTTCCGGTTAATGGATGTTGAGTATCTTGCGTAGACAACCACTTATAAATACTTGTACCTTCTTGATGGTAGTTGTTGTAGTTCTCCAAGTTTCAACTCCGTACAGTAGAACTGCCTTGACTTTCGTATTGAGGATTCTGACTTTCATATTGGTTGAAAGTTGTGTTCAGTTCCACATGTTCTTTGTTCAGTGTACGATAAGCCAAGATTAGATCACCCCATATGTAACGGAAAGCGAACGATGAAAATCCCTCCGCAGCTTTTTTGTTGGACAGCACTGTCATTTATCTGTTTCTTCTCCCTGCCATGTATTTCAACCTTTGTTCAGATCTCGCTTAACCACGCCATTTGTTCCTCAGTCTTCTTCGTCTGAGCCTTTATTATGTGATTTTGATTAAAGACTTATCTTTTGTTACTTAATTTTCTATTGCATGTGTCCGGACTATTGACAGTAAGGTCGTGTTTGACTAAGCTCAAGGTGGTTTGGTGTGTGACTATTGACCTTTTGACTCTGCATGGGAGGATTTCAGGGATTCCCGCAGATAGATATTTGATCCAATATTTTCGGGAATATTTTTACTGATTCTCAGGTATCGAACCCTTCGGTATTAACAGTTTCTTTTGCTGTTTACTGTGCTACTTTGCATTAGAGAAACTTTCGACTGTATACCACAGGTTGTGTCGTTTGAGGTATTTTGTATTTTTGATGTAATTTGTTCTGTTTTATAAATTAGAACCGTTTAAATAGAGCACGGAATTTTGGTCGCACATAAATCGGGTATAATAATCTAAACATTTTATCATCTAAATACCGGAAAGACATACGAATAGACCATAATACCCTATAGCATTTCGCAACAGCAGCCTTACAGTGACTAATTGTTTTTAGATCACTGTTTAATATGACTCCTAAATCTTTATAGTTTCTTGCTTTGAGTAGCACGAATCCACGTAGTGTATAGTCATATGATTCATCAGAGTTATTTAGCTACATCACTACACTCTTATTAGGATTTACTTCTAGTGACCACCTGCACAACCATGCCACCACTGAGCTAAGATCATTCTGTAATACTATCCTATCGGACATACTATGTATGGGTCTCCAAATTTTTACGTCATCAGCGAAGAGTAGAACGGATGATTTTGCTACAGTTGGTATTTCATTTACATAAAATGAAAAGAGAAGAGGACCGAGATTTTCGCATTGGGGAAATCAACGTTTTACAGATTCCCACAAGAAGAGAGCTCCATTTTCCCTTGCCTTTTGCTTTCCGTCATGGAGAAAACCACATATCAAATTTATGACTGTATAACGGATTCCAAGACATTCCCGTTCGGATTTCAGACCAGCATTATCTAAGGCTGTACTTGGATCTATGAAAATCACATCTACATGAATATTTCGATCTTTTGCAGCAACCCAATCTTCTCTTGCAATGAGGAGATTTGTCAAACATGATAGGCCCCTACGAAACGCGTGTTTTTCTCTGGATAAAAGATTATGCCTTCCAACATAGTTTATAACAGCTATCCTAGTATTTTTTCCAGCAGTTTTACAACTGAACTAGTTAAGCTGACGGGCCAATAGTCACCAAATAAGTCTCTACTCCCAGCCTTATACACCGGACTAATTGTTGCATCTTTCCAGCCTCTGGCAGTCCGGACTGCCTCAGAGACATATCAAAGAGTATCGCTAAGGGTTCAACAATTACATTGGATATGGCTTTCATAATCTTAGGATGAATATCATCAGGATCACTGAACTTATCAGGTTTGATATGCTGAAGTAGCCTTAGAACATTTCCTTTCTCAGTGACTACGAGGTCCATCAACAAGCTGCTACAATCATAATGAATTGTTGGTCGTTCTTCATTACTGATAAGAAACACTTTACTGAAATATTCCGATAAAGCCGAGGCTTTTTTGGTATCATTTCTTGCCAGTATTAACGGATTTTCTTGCATCAAAAGTGATAGAATTGCATCGCTTCTCCGAGTTCGCCGTTTTATATACGAGAATAACCGTTTCGGAGGATAATTACAATCCCTAACAAATTGTTTTCATATGACCCTCTGATCTTAATTGTTAACGCTCTACAGGCAGCATTAATCTTATGATAACTGGATCTGTATTGTTCTAATCCAGTAGAGATGAATATATTTTAGTGCTTCCTCCCTTTTCTAAGGAGTTTCCTGACTGTTTTCGTTATCCATGGTGAACTGTTATTCGATCTTCGCGGTACCAGGTATGGTATGAATGGGGACGTCACTAAACTAAACTTACCTTAGAATACAGACTATGCTTCTTCAACTGATAAGCTAGTTTCTTCAACCCAATCAGTCTTAGCAGCTCATTCATGAATGGCTGATATGTTAGCTTTCCATATATTTGTATAACATCTCCCTAGTTCTAAACATGTATAACAAAACAGCGTGATCGCTGTTCACTAACAGTGGAAGAATATTTAGGTCGACAATATCCCCAGTCGCACGAGTGATTAACAAGTCCAAGATAGAAGAACCTTGGTTATCCCCAAAACGTGTGGGTTAGGATACATGCTGTACTAATGCATGCTCCATTATTGTTATCAGGAACCGGCTATCAAAGGAGTTTATAAATCCTTCCGTGGTCATTTCAGTCCAACTAATATCAGGTGCAATAAAGTCCCCTAATATCAAGCATCTGTTATTTACACTCCATAGCTGAATATGCTCTGAAATAAGCAGATTAATCTGTGATAGAAGACACCAAGTATAAATGTACCACATTCGATAGTTAGCTCACAGCTAATGACTTCACAAGATCCACTATCATGGGATTCGCTAGCAGAGGAGTGGATATTTATATTATTGGCTATATATAACAGGACGTCACCTTTTCTACATATATGTTTATCAGTCCTTAGGTAATGATATCCGGATAATTCTGCAGTAATGTCTAAGTCATGGACTAACCAAGATTCTGTTAGCGATACAATGAGTGGCTTTAATCTGTCCACTAATGTCTCTAGTTCACAGATTTTATTTCTTAGACTACGAGCGTTGGCATATAACGGCCAATCCATACAGGCCTTGGTAGCATTTGATTCCAAGACCTGACCATCCGAAAACCCACTAATCAGTGATTTTCCTCACTGTTTTATCGACGAATTTCTAGTTCAATTAGTGCTTTCTTTCTTTTTATTCTATCTCCTAGAGACATATCAGGTCTAACTCGAATGTTGGAATCGTCGTGACAACGAGCGCTACTTAACAGGAGATCCTGTTGCTTCTCCGATCCTATGATTACCGTAAAAAGTCAGCATGGTCGTGGTTCAAAATTGTCCTCGATCCTCTTGCCTATTCTAACCAGTTTTTTTGACTAGAACTCTTCTAGTATGATACTACGAATATATTCTCCCAGCTTCTTTGAATCATGCGCGTATCTAATTTCGGGATCAGGGTCGTTTGATTCCAGCGAATTGCTCACAATATTATTCTGTGATATTAGATTTTTCTTCTCAGTCACGTCAGGGTGGATTTCTATCTTGCTATCAGATTTTGGTAGTGCACTTTGTAACTCACAATGGGAGTCCACTAATGACTTGCTGACCACCTGCGTACTGCCTACAGCTTTTTTTCGTTTCAGTTTCTCCATTTTTTATCCCTCAAGACACTGGAACTATTTGGAACAGTGACGGTTTGATCCGTCCTTCAATTTCCACTATTGGTGCTTGATTACCAATGTAAATATCAAGTGACACTTCACTCATCGTTAGTTTTGACGATTTCACTTTTGTCAATCACAGTCGGGTATTTGACGTATTCCGTAACAGCACGTACTACACTGACACATTCTTTACTGTCAGTACTAGTGTCACCAGAACAACCACCATCGTTCTTCTTATGTGCCAAAGCTGATAAGCTCATAGCCTCCTGGACTAGTAACGTCTTATTTGTACTGCAAAACACACAAAGCAAATGCGAGTTAGACTCCGAGCATCTTTTGTTTGAGGTGGGACGTAAACGGGTTCACATTTTATGGTACCATATTTTACACTCATTGCACTACATTTCTTCCTCCACAATGAACAAACAGTCTTGTTGTCCACATTTGTGAGTACTGTCAACCTTTTTATTCAGATTAAGGTGTAAAACACAATATGATCACAATATAAACACAAGTGTCAGTCAATGAGTAAAAGGGTACCACAAGACAAACTTTAGCAAGATTTCAAACCTTAACTAAAGCAACTTGATATCGACCAAGAATGTTTTTGACGCAGCAATTACACAAAAACAAGGATAATCATAACAAGTACAAAATCTGTGTGACTGGCTTATATAAATCGGTTGATTTCTCTGAGATTACCTCTTGTCGGTTATGTACGAAATGAAACCTTTTTAATTTTTCGTGAGCGGTAAACCAGCCACTCGACTGCATTAATTCTTGTCCACTTTGCTCGTATATCTTGTAAATGAGGTGAGTTCACTTGTCTAAGGTGAATAAGGTTTCTGGATACCAGCATTTATCACGTTACCACGCAGAAGGCTAATTTGCAGCGATGTGAAAATTAATAGATAGAAGATTCAAATGCTTATAGACGATAATTGTTTCAATAACTAAATAATAATAAATATAACAATTACAAAGCCGACTTTTATTTGTTTACATTTCCGGAGCAATAACTTCCAAATATCAAAGCAACTACAAAGTTCATCCAAAATTTACGAAATCAGAGATGTGAACAAACGGTGAAATTATTATCCAACACAACGGTTTTCAATCGGCCAAATGTCTTCAGTTCTCCTATAAAGTGTCCTTTTTATTGCTTGACTTATTCACTATCTATTTAAATTACACTGAAACCAATTTTAGGTACCGTACTTGGAGTTGATGTTTTAGACATTCATTTTACACTCACAGTTTGTCTGTGAATTTTGATGTGTTGGATACGTGTCTGGCCTTCTAATACAACTTCTGTACAAGTGGAATTAGTCATATTACTACATACGTCAGGCGGGATCTGTATTTTACTGGAGATAAAACATGGGCTAAAGACTCGGCTAGCTTACCCTCCTTCGAATGAGTCAACGTGGAGAACAGTTGTAACAAGATGAGACGGAGTCACAATTATTGACGAATAAGCACGATAACTCTTAATCAAGTAACAAGCACCTAGTTCTAGGCCTGTTTTATTATTTTTACATTTCTTTAATTCACCGCTTCCGTAAGCCAAGAAAAACGAAGAATAATCAGTAATCTGGGAGTCATCACGAAGTTATCATTAGTACTTGAATTCTCTTAAAGGAATGATTTCAGTCGCTTCGCCGTTATTTTATAAGAAAGATTACAAAGACATTACATCATCCAAATGTCCATAAATATATATCGCCAACCATATGATTTCTTCGCATACAAATCTCGGTTTTAAGAAACTGCTTTTGGTCCTCTGTGACATCCAATAAAGGCAGTTCATCAATTCACCCCGATTATTCCTGCTGATACTGAGAATTTTTCAAAGCCCAATATTTATTGAGTTGAAATTGATAGTTTCATCTCGGAGCAATGCTATCAATGAAACAAGCAGCTATCATTTTGCCAGGAAGGACCACTAACAATAAGGTCGTGTTTGACTAAACTCAGGGCCATGGCGTGTTTCAGTGTATAACTGTTAACCTCTGACAGTCTACTTGGAAAAGTTGCCTGAATGCTCGCAGATAGGTGTCTGATTCCACTTTGTTAAGAATATATTTATGGATTATCAGGTATCTAACTCTTGCTTATTAAATATTCATTCTGTCGTCTGGTACGTTAGTTTGTGCTAGTGAAAGCTTTGAATATATAACACAGGTTATACTGTTTGCAGTATTTTGTACTTTTGATATAATTTGTTCTTTTCTAAATTAGAACCTTTCAAATTGAACGCAAGGTTTGTGCTCTGATATAATTTAGTACGAGTCACTCAAAAACGCTTCGTAAGCTATATGGATGTGGTGGTGTGGCCCAATCGAATAAACTTTGGTTCATTAGTTCTGCGTCTAACTCGAATACTGGTATTTTGGTAGTTACGACGCTAATTAGGATTTATTTTTGACAGCAGATTCACGTCGCCTTTACGGTATGGTCAATAATTTTCAACATGGATTTACAAATGAATTACTCAAGTAAGATTATTGGTAAAGTGTAGTCATACATCTGAGCATTTGCAAAAATGATGTCTAGATCAGTATTAATTGAATTTATCTGTGCTACTAGAATGCCAGACCTAGTTCCAAGGCAGTATATTTACTATAATGAGACCACCCAATCTATAAGATCCCATGTGGAAATCACACCATCGTCTTTATTGACTCTTCCTGTCGTTACAGTCTGCAATATGCTGTCCAAGACTTTTGAAGAACTCTTTTGAGTTTTTAGATGGAATTATATATTTAACATGAGATGAAATAAAGAATATGAAGTGACTGTCTCCCCATGTTTGAGCCTTGTCAAACCGACTGAGTCCTCCTGAGTTCACTATATCTGACCTCCAAGTGATAAGCGTTTAATATAAATCTTCTCGGTCATCGTATGTTATGATTCAAAGATCGTGTGTTTAGGAACCAACACCACTTTAGCATACAATAAAATCGTGAAGTATGAACCAGTTTTATGCAAACAGTATGTAAACTCATGTCTTCCTCAAGTTCTTTGTTTGTACATCTAACATATAACTATACAATGGACATAGGCTATTCATCTCGAACATTCTGAATAATACAAACGGGTTTTTGTAGCCCTGATTTGACTTCTATTTGAAATAAGGTAGTTAAAAGAATAGTTAAGGGATTGGAATTTTCATTCGCTAACTGGTATCAGCTGTAGTGTACGTACAATATTTTAATTTTACGCAGTAACCTAAAAGTTATGATTGTCGGATCCCTTATGAATACATTTCCGCGGCTGCACAAATTATTATTACCACAAATGGCGATAAGTATAAATAATTGATGGGCAAAGTCTAATGAAATCGATTTCAGAACAGATGCAGCTTGGGTAAACACTAGCCCTTCCTTTGAAATATAGTTCAAAAGGTTCCATCACTAACACTTAGAACAAATTTTGGTCAAAGATATTGTGTTCTACCTTATATAGATATCCTATCAAGTGTAGTTTATTATTATGGTACGATAATATTCCTTCTAATTTTAAGCATTGCTGAAAGCCTTCAAAAATTTTGAATACAACAATATTACGGGATTCATAAACACTGGTCAGCCTATTATTTATATTTATTTTCAAGTGAAAATCTGATGGAAATTGGGCGTTGAAGAATAAAAAGCGCGCTCTACGGTTTTCAAGGTAAAGTTTGAACAAAAGCTATTCTTAGTAAGTTCCAGCGTTTAGTGAATTTTTTGTACACAGCAATAGATATGTGTTTTAGATTCATCAGTTGACATACGCGACGTCTGTCGATATGTCTGTAGCAGATTCAGATAATTCACATATAGGGATTGTAATGTAGTTATTGCAGATCTCCAACGTCCTTTTGACGTTAGTTAAATAGGATTTCTTATAGACTTTCACAGCATATATATTACGCTACAGGCGGCTTTCTGCATTAAAGGTGGTGGTTGCTTGACATTGAGAAAATTTCTGAACAAAGCAATTTCCAATAAAAATAACTCATCTCATAGGGTGCAATGCCTTTATTCATCAAAGCTGTCTACAATTTATAGCTTTTCATTTATCATCCTACAAGGATAATGTTCTTATTATTCTAATCTAAAGCCTCAGATAATCGAGTAAGGGATTATCAAACGTTTTATCATGGTTCTCTCGTTGTTTGATCTGTCATTCAGTACAGTCAGTCGTGAAATACACACTTTCTAATGTGCTTGCCGCAAAATTCACATAGATATTGGTACAAAGGGGCAGCAAATACATATGCGCCACACTAGTCTTTTCATTTATATGTGAAGCTTTACTTTGTTGTCTGCTTGTGTCATAATCTAGTTTAGATTTAGTAACCACAATTATCATTTACCCAGTAGGAAAGTCAAAAAAATGTAAGCAAGCTTTCAACTGGACTAATTTATTTTTGAGCATCTTGTTTACGTAACTTATTATTGGATACATAGTTTAATACTTGTTTTTATAGACTTGAAACGCATATTTTACTCATCTAATGAGTAGTGAAGTAAGTACTGATGATGGGTTTATCAAATCCTGCTAGGTCCCTAATTACTTCTTAAAATTCACTCTAACTGGTCATACAAAAGCAGTCTCATCAGTAAAATTTAGTGAAAATGGTCAGTGGTTGGCAAGTTCATGTAAGCACTCGACTATTGGTTATATTCTCCCTTTGAAACAATACAGCAGCTGATAAATTAATCAAAGTATGGAATGCTTATGACGGGAAATTTGAAAAATCTATCAGCGGTCATAAACTGGTAGTTTTTACTTCAATAATTTTTATCTGCTATGCATATATAATATGTTAAAGGGAATTTCAGATGTTTCGTGGTCTTACGACTCAAGATTTCTGTGTAGTTCCTCCGATGACAAAACTTTAAAACTGTGGGATCTCGTCTCTGGCAAGTGCCTAAAAACGCTTAAAGGTCACAGCAATTATGTTTTTTGCTGTAATTTTAATCCACAGTCAAACCTGATCGTTTCTGGCTCGGTATGTCTTTTGTCTTTATTGTTTTCTAACTGTCACTGGTATAGTTTGATGAAAGTGTCAAGTTATGGGATGTGAAAACAGGCCGGTGTATCCGCACACTTCCTGCCCACTCTGATCCTGTTACAGCTGTATGTCATTATATGTATAATTTACTTAAAAACCTGCTTAGGTTAATTTCAATCGTGATGGTTCGCTCATTGCTTCCAGCAGTTATGATGGACTATGGTATGTGGTTCAAATTGTATTTCTTGAATAATTAATCTAAATTGTAGTCGAATCTGGGATACTGGTTCTGGTCAGTGTTTAAAAACATTGATAGGTAACTTGACTCGTGCATGCACGTATACTGCTCAATTGATTGATTTTCAGATGATGATAACCCTCCTGTTTCATTTGTTAAATTCTCGCCTAATGGCAAATACATTCTAGCTGCTACACTCGATAGGTATTAAATTTACTTAACATGACTAAATCCTAATGAATTTTCCAAATATAGTTGTCTCAAATTGTGGGATTACACTAAAGGTAGATGCTTGAAAATTTATGGAGGGCACAAAAATGAGAAGTATTGTATATTTGCAAATTTTTCAGTTACCGGAGGCAAAGTATGTTTACTAATTTATTTGATGATTGTTTTTGATTAGTGGATTGTCTCGGGGTCTGAAGACAACTGTATTTATTTATGGAATTTGCAAACAAAGGAAATTGTACAAAAACTTTCTGGTCATAATGGTTTGTTTTTACATTTTGTTCTAAGCTTTTTAATTCTTTTATAGATGTTGTTTTGTGTACTGCTTGTCATCCTCAAATGAACATGATTGCTTCGGGATCGTTAGAGGGCGATAAAACAATTAAAATTTGGACTAGTGATAAGTGATTGCTTCTGGTTTATTATACTTCTGGATCCTTGTATACTATTTTTTACCTCCAATGCCCTTTGCCTGTATATGTTGTATCATCTGTTTTTCATATCACAGGTTATTCATATGAACTACAAATTTATCGATTCATCCTACGTAAATGATTCATTATTGACATTTTTTGTTGCAAAAAGGGAAAATCTATGTTCTATTGTAAATTGCCCGACTAAAACTGTTCGTTTGAGTGTTTCTTTATCGATCCTTGTGAAGTGGACTTATTATGAATCCACACCTTATTACTAAAATACAGATACGGTTCATGATTAATGAATAGTAGATTGATGTAGTCAATTAAACAACTGCTCACAAAATCACATTTACAATCTTAACTGATTAATCTACTAGGAGCGAAACTAAAAGATTATCAATGTAAAATATACTTTTTGATCCTTGAATGCGTGAATTGGCTGTCTAAAAAATCTCACTGATAAATTTCTTAAACCAAAATATTGTGGTGACTTTTTAATCACTGAACATATTCCAGAAACCTGTGTGACATAAGTAGATTGTATAATCTGAAATAATGGATTTTTCAGAGAACTAAGGTGATTGGGAATCTCGACTAAAAAACGACGACCTACACCATTTTTGTTGAGTGAACGGATAGACGGAAAACATTGTAAGGTTTTCTTCGGCGTTAAAATATAACAACCTAGTTGTGGGATTGTCGTTATTGGCGTGAAACAAAACACAATTTTAACACCATATTTGGTTACAGCGACTAACGTTTACACACTTTATTTCGGGATGAAGGTATCTTAAGTATCTGGAGGCGTCAGTTACCAAGATTTTCGAACATTCTTGTCTATATATTTTAAGTGAATTTTTAGGAGGGTGTATTTGATATCCAATCATTCTGACTGAAAAATAAACTTTCTCAGTTCATATTTCAGCCAAAGCACATTTAGTATAGGAAGTAATTATCTACAAACGCAATTATAAGCAAATCCCCTGGTTGTCGAGCACAGTGTTAGCTTGGCTAAAGTCAGAATAGGTAAGCTATTTGGCTTAGTTAACTTTCCATTTTAAGACGCAAATTAACACGGTTGGTATACGGAAAACAAATTAATAGTCTATTAAACAGAAAAAGAGCGACATAAGTAATATACTGAATAGTAATCAGAAGAGAGGGGAAGTGAGTCAAGAAAACCTACTATCCATTTGTATTGGTTGTTTGAATCTTTCCACTGAATTTAAGGACTGCAATTGATAAGTCTATGCATGGTATATGTGCGGATTGTCTTAAGTTACAAGCATTATAAGCAGAGGTGGTTGGTGACTAACTATGGAGTACAGGAAGTGAGTCACAAATGGGACAAAACCTCATCTCATTGCACAAGCTAGTGGGTATCTGGACTCAGTATCTAAGTGAATAACGCAAGGGCGTCTGAAAATGGCACTGGGTTTGAGTCTCGTAATGGACGTTAACTCTGGGATGGAGAAACATCCAGCTGGTGAGTCCCAAACAGGACGAGGCCCGTGTTCTGGATCCCACTGCTAGAAATTAATATCATTTATGACAAACATGGGAGGTTGTAATTAGTGAGTAAACAAGACACTTCCCCAAATGCCCTGGTACAGCTGAGGGTAGGGAGAGTCAGCTCTCCCTCTCGAAATGATCTCACATCACCCGTATACAACCACTTTCAGAAAAATCCTACTCACTGCCTCCTCGTGGCATTACTGTTGTTTAGTACTTTGACAGGACGAAAAGCGAATATCCGGCCCTTTAAACGGGTTGGTGGACACGGAGAGTTCACCTAGGGGAGTTTGAAAACCATGATTCCAAACCAATGGTGCACATGGGCTCCAGTATCCTGAAGGGACAAATGGAATATGAACCTATTGTTAGTCACCGGCCACTATGGGACTGCATCTCTTATCGTTGCTCCACTAGCCTGTGGATTAAACCTTTAGATCGAAGGCTCCGGGTGTGGTCCCCTAGGAGAATTACCTGCTTCGGTTTGGACAACCGGGCAGTATAATGGATCATACACAAATCAAGTGACTTGTGTGGCGCATATATATATTCGGTGCCCTTTGTACCAATATTTGTGTTCAAATAAATCAATAAATATACAAGATAAAAGCAAGTCAAGGTGGTGGGCATTTGACACTGACATTGGTGGGCTCGTGTATCAATCATGTCTTACACTTAGTTTGGAATTAATATATTCACTATTGAAAAGCAACAGAAAATCATTTTCCTAGGGAAATGACAGGTATCCGAAGATTCGGGTTAACTAAAAATTCTACTAAATAAGATCAGAGTATGAAGGTTCACCATAATGTTTGTGAAAAAAAAACAATTTAAGACTTCAAGATTGCCAGTGGGTTCTATCTTAAGTCAGTGAGTAGTACAGCCTTCATAGCTCTATTCTGTTTGTGACGAATTATAGAATATTAAACCTATGAAGATTATTTTGCAATTTACGAAACCACATAATGATTTGACTTCCTCCGGTCATTTTCCGTGTTGTCTGAGCGTCAGCAGACCGAAGATAATGTTGCAAAACGTAACAATAGATGAGTTATCTTGAGCGTCCACGCTCCTTGGCCTCACCACACTGTTGGTTCAGAATGGATGCAGTTCTTCAGACAATCTATAAAATTCTAGATTTTACAAAGATCAAGTAGAACTGCACCCACTAAAACGTCTCATAAGCGACAAGAACTAGCATACATCACTCTGGTCTTGGTTACACGTGGACTGATATCGTATGACATCGTCATTCATTTAACTACCCAAATACACGGCTCTTCAAATATTTCCGTCAGTTAATCACAGGATGTAAGCAGACTTAAGTGTCAGACAACAAGACGCCATCGGTTTGCCGCGTGCTTTTATGAAATTTGCTTCGTCTTCCGACCAGGATATTGCAATCATACTTAAAATGTATCGGAATCCCTTTCAAATGTTTATTACGCCAGCTGTTTGGATATCTACGACCAAGAAAAAACAGGATATCCTGGTAAAGTAGCCAAATTAGACCCATTTCTAAAGTGCTCTACTTAGCACAGCACATTCCCACATTCGGCTATACGTTTTCTACGTTTCTGACTAAGTTACACAGGTTTTTTTTATCATCTAGACTGAAAAATCTATATTTCAAAGATTAACTGACATCTGGCCCTTATCTGTTGGATATATCCTTTAGACTAACGTTATCTTGACTATGATGGGGACACACAATTATCCATATGTACCATCATGTGGTTAAATATAATTTGTACTTTCGAACGATCATTGAAACTATACGTACTAAACTGAAGGCAAAAAATTACTTTTTCTCAGTCAACATGTACCTTTAGCAAAAATACAGTGTTAATCAGAAAGAAATCAAATACATATTATTAAAAATAATAAAACAATAATGCATAATTTAGGTAGCTAACAAATCAGATCTATAAATTAATGTCGCTGTTTATAATGTGACCAGATCAATGGTTTCAGTATGATTGAATATGGTATCTAAAGTTTCTTTTGGTGGACCTTCTGCAACCAATCGTCCAGACTGCATGACTATAACACGTGAGCATAATCGACGAACTGAAGCAAGTCGATGGGCTATGAGTAATATTGTGGCTCCTTGAAATTCTCGGTCAAGGACTTGCTGTTTGTATGGAAAATATAAATAAATATTAAAACACTTACATAAGCGACATATGTGTTCTTGTTATAGTACATTTTGTTATTAAGTGGGAAATTAGTCATTAGTAAGACTTATACGTGTCAGTAGTTACTTTTTCTTCAACTTATTAGCAAGGAAGAAAATATCAGAATATATTCTGCTCATTCAAATATATTTTTGTCACGAGAAATAATGATGAAGAAGGAAAGTTAGAGATTGGAGTCTGTGCAATAAAGTTTAACCTATATACTAAATAACTTCTGAACATTACTAGCCCAGTGAAATACATCAAGTTTGTATTTTCGTTTGAATTACTTAACAAAACGAGAGGATAGTATAACAAACAAACTGATAAACTAGTTATCCATATCTCATACGTCGATAACTTAAGATCATAATCGAAATGTTGCTGAAACATGGTCAGTTAGTCAGCTAAAACGTAGGACCAGGCATATATATGCATCGGTCCAAGTCGCCATACCTCATTAACAAAACAAGATGAACATCGAATTCATAAAAGTAGTTAATTCAGTTGTGGTAATATATAAAAGAAAGATTGCAATAAGGATATAGTACAGGGAGAAAAAATTAGTTCATAGAAAGATATGAAGCGATTTTAATCTCTTAGTTTAAGGGAAGACAGAGAGTGTATACACCGACGCCATTGTGATCGATTCTGAGCCATGTCACCAAGAGTCTCCAACCATTGGTTAAGAAAGTCACGCGGACCCCAACCAAGTAGTCTGCATCTCCCAACATGGCTCAGACTAGAAGTTAGTGACTTCAAGCACTGATGCCACGTCTTGGTTTGACCGCCCCTAACTTTCTTCCAACCATCTCCGACACCGGTTAGCATTGCACGTCGTGGTAATCGGTGTTCGGGCACACGTAACACATGGCGAGGTAGTTAATGCTGACAGGCCTGTAAATCTAGACCATACGATTTCACGACCATTTAATTTAAGAAAGAAAATGTCAATTAATTAATAAAATACAATACAAGGTGGGAAGTTATGTGTTGAACACATAGTTAATTTCGACTTAAAATATATGGAAATGAGTTAGCTGTTCATATCAATCTGATTGTGAAAGAATTCTAAAGGAACCACATCAAGATGTTATCTGAATATGTTAATGTCGAGATTACAGATAAATAATTCAGCCAGTTAGAAATCACTAAGAATATAGAATTCGATTCACTGGGTAATGGAAGAAAGAATTAAACATTAAAAGAGATATGAGAATCATAACATCTGAACTTTTAACAATAATATGAATTTCAGCAATTCTGATCCAACTAATGAGAAAAAAGTAAAATTGACAAATTACTTGTGCAGTAACCTGAACCTTATTTCGTTCAATAGCTAAGTCAAAGACATCTAAATTCTCTGTGAATTTAGACATAATAGTTGTATCATAACTAAATAACTTCTTACAAGCTGGAGCATGCTATACAGTAACCAAAGTTTGGACAGTAATGTTACACAATTAATTAATGACTAACACAGAATGAAATCTTACATGAATCGTTTCTTCACATTTATTGTCTACTGAAGCAGTGGCTTCATCTAAACAAATAATTTTTGGCCTAGGTTGACGAAGTAAAGCTCGAGCTAAACAAATCAATTGCCTT